GGCGGCAACTGAGCAACTGACTATGGTTCGAGCCCGCTCAATGCCAAAATATTGCCAATGGGTATTAGTTGTATGAACGATCATAGGTGCACTGTAAAGTTAAAAAGAGAACGGTTCCAAACCAAATCATTGATTAGGACCGAACTTTGGGAACACCACTAACGAAAGCGTGCACTTTCGGGTCGGTGATGCTCCACATTTGACGCAAAAGCACCTCGTCAGGGGAACTTGCAAGTTGATTCCCAGCAACTTACGGGTTCCCCTGACGAGGTGCTTTCTGACGGACTCTCATACAGCCACACTATTCCTCTCCTATGACTCGTCGGAAAACTCTCCTCTAAGGGGCTCATTTTATCGCAGCACAGAATCTCGCATGACCGTGATCCCCTCGCGTGTATGCTTATACTGTGGCGGAGGGATTGGTATCATGTGAACTCGGTGCACTTGGACTAGTTCCGTCAGATCAGATCATCTCACCTGACGGGAACTTTCCTATGGGCCAATATCTCCTTATGCTAAACTGCATAGGACAATGTTGACGCAGGACACCTTGGAAACGGTTGGAATTGGAAATTCACATGAAAACCCACATCTTACTATATATTGCGAGAACTGGGTCTTTGATGATTTTAAGTAACTATATTGAGAAGGACTGCAGTTCCTAATAAGCAAGGTCAAAAATGGACTGTGCCATTGATCAGCTCATGATTGGAAGACTTCTGAAAGAAATGGATGGCTTTCTTGCAAAAGGCTGGGAATCGTTTTCATGCAAAAGGTTATGATAAATGACCCAATGAAATCTTGTTTTTTTGCCTTCATGCATCAGTAAATGTTTTCTATTAAATAAAAGATGTCGAATTAAAAGACACCTTTATAATGTAATTTGTTCACCTCATGACTGCAATGAGCACGTATCTTTCAGTTTCTTCAGGTGAAATGACCTTGGCTTTGTTTTTGAAACTTTCTCCTTCTTCAATTTGAAGCACTGAAGGGATAAGGCCGCACATAAACTGAAAAAAAAATAATTTGTAAATTATTGTTAGCTTATTTTTGGTGACACATAAATAAGGACTATAACCTCAATCATCTGCAGGGCTTGTAATTGCAATTCGACATTCTTTCTCATCATCATCGGCACAAAAACGTTGAAATTTTCAGCAGCAACTACTGGTTCGAGGCTAGTCTGAACAGAATTTTACGACCAGTGAATAATTCGTTCAAATAACACTAGAGCACCTTCTGATGGACAGTTAACTGATCTGGTTTCGTATTTTTTAATTCCTCTCGAAGTTGCTGTATGGGAATGTTCGCGTCAGCACAGAAACACTCTATCAATGTATCCACCAGCTCTCGAAACTCCTTGTGAACGTTTTCAAACAAAGACCCATCACCTTGTTGCCGGTCGAAAACTGAAATTATTGTGAGTTA